AGGATGCTCCTAGTCTAGTAAGGAGACAGGTAAATAGATAAAGACGTTTAAGTGTAAGGATTGCACTTTACATGTAGGTGTAAGGTGCTAAGGGGGGGAGCGGCTTCTAACCTAGTCCCGAGTGTCCACTGAGTGTCCCTGGGAAGGTGACACGGGCTGGTTCTTAATGGATTGTAAGAATGGAATGTAAGGATGAATGCTCTAGTAAGGGAAAGAATGAGAATACAAGTAATAAAAAAGTATACGAAAGTGAGAAAGTGTGCAAATAATGAGGGTGTGCAGACAATGCAATTGGGTTGGTACAGAAGCCTTTGGGGAATGTGAGAGGAGAAACAGAAGCCCACAGTGTGTTTGTGAGACAGAACCTTGGAGCACAAAATGCATTTAGGTAGTGACAACTAGAAACAGTCTTTACGTATTTGAAAGACTGAGATGTGAAGCTGGAGAGACATTTGCCCTCTAAACTGTAACCAGGATCAGTGGGTGAGAGCCAAAGAAATAAGTCTTGGCTGAGAGTAATAAAGCCAATAAATAAAACCTGGTAATAACCATGAATATTTTGTAGGCTGTTTGCGAGATGACCATAGCAATATTGAAAATAGATTCCTAATTTGTGTCAGATACATTATATAAACTAATTCATGCATATGAGTCTCTTTCTTTGGTTGAACTAGAATGAACTTCCTTCTCAGACTGTGAACATTCTAGCCCAAAGCAATAAAGCAAAGGCTAACCTACATCATTTCAAATCTTTCTTTTTCTTGCACTACACACAAACTGTGTACACAGTTTGTCATGTACTGCCTAATAATATTAGTTAAAATTTCTTGATTCTGTTATATCTCCCCAACAATATTTTAAATCCCTCATAGCAGTGATATCTAGTCTTCACCTTCACAGTTTCTTCATAGCCTAACTTGTTATTAATGACTGTTATATATTAGTCAATTAACTCTGAGATGCTCTGTAGGTGGGCAATTAAAAAACAAATAGCCTATCAAAAAAAAGATAGAGAGAAAAACAGCGCTAAATATATCAACACTAGAGAAAATGTCTTAATGATGGTGGTTGAGTGAGCTTCTTAATAACAAACTTTCTCCTATTATATGTATTCTCGGAACCAATTAATTGACTCATTCCAAGTAAGCTTTGTATATGTCTGTTGAATAAGTAAATGAGGAATGAGGGGTGACTATATGAACATTTATTTAACTCTATGTTGAAAGGACAAAAATATTTGCTTCAGTTTTCCAGTGCCATTTAAAAATATATTTTGCCTATTTTTAAAAGTACTTGTCTTGTGGTGGTTTTGCTCTCTCTTTGTGCAAAGTACAGAAAAGTGTCATATATTTTTGTCTTCACTTTTATTCCACTATAAGATGGTTTGAACTATGCATTTCATGTTCTATTTCAAAGCATGTGGTATCTGTCATAGAATTTTAGGAATATGAAACCTCAGCTGAAGAGCATTTTGGGAAGATAAGAAAAATGCTGCTTTCTGGAGATTATAGAAAGTACAAGGTAACTTAATTTCTACCACATCATATCACATTTAAAGTTAAGGTGATTTTTAAAAAAGCCTCCCATGCAGCAAACGTGACCCCAATGTGTCATTTTCAGGAGAAAATAAAAGAAGAAATAAATAATGATAATTTTCATTCTAACAAAAGGGATACTTAGATCTTCATCTATGGCATTTCACACACACACACACAAACACACACACACCATATTTTTAATGTGTCTATGAACAATATACAGTAGAGGTTCTGTAAATTCTCTACCTCATCCTCAACACTTCATGTTCAACTTGTCTCTAGTTTTTGTTAAAATAACAATGGAGTCATTATGAAAAAAACATTCAGTTCCTAGCACATTCAAACAGTATCACAATCTAAATGCCAGACTTCTGAATTAACCGTTCCACCTTCAAATCTAATAATGGATTCTTTCAAATTTACTTATTAATTCATTTAACTCATTACACTCTGATTTATCATTTTTCTATATGCTAGCTCCAGCAACTGGCATTGTTGACTCAGAAGAGAATAACACATGCATAACCACTGAAAAGGAGAAAATTTAAGGGTGAAAAAAAGATCGTAACATAAAGTGCTTTGCACCCTAGTTTGAGTACAGATTATCAATAAATGTTTAATTCTGCACAAGGTTAAAAATGATTGTGGAAAACAAGAAAAGTAAAGGTGAAAGCATGGAACGTATGCAAAAAGGTATCAGGCAGTTTAGGATATCAACACAAAAGTATGTCCAGAGGGAGAAAGTAGTCACTAGGAAACGTAAACTGAAAGTCAATCCTACAATTTCTGAACATTTGACTCTTTAGGCTTTGCTTTCATTGTTCTGTCTTGAGTAATATGAAAATAAGTTGTAGAGAAACAGCATGATTGTTTTAGACAGATAGATGTTAGTATTAGCAGCATGACATTAGAAAAGTTACCCAGCCTCTCTGAACCACAGATAATTTACCACTGATGGATAATTTACCACAGATTGGTAATCCAAAAACTCACAAATCTCCAGTGGGGAATAGATTAGGTAATGTACAAAAGTACATGGTAGTAATACCTAGAAGAACAAATTGACAGGTACTCAGTGATATTGTGATTAATGTTGATTAGTTTGCTAATGGTACTAAACAAATGAGCATACCAGAACACCATCAGCCTATATAGATTTGCCATTTTTCTTTCTAAAATAGGGCTAAAACAGGTTAAGTTTTTCAAAAATACTTTAATTTTTTTTAAAGGGAAGATATAAGAGATGTGGAAACTTTGGAACATTTTTATAAGGCCTGATTATTCATCTAATTGAAAACATAAATCTAAAACATCATTGCACAATGTAGACAAGGAAATTGTAGTAATTTCTACTAGTCTGAAAGTTACATGAGCAAGAAAAATATGTAATGTTTAAGATTTAGTATATAATAAATAATACATGAGTAAAAGTAAAGTTAATAAATATTCAAATATTATAGGTAGTAATGTCATGAAGATATGGAGGCCACTGTTGTCTGCTCAGCGGCTTGTGTATTGTGTTCTCATTTGAAACTGGGCATGGAGCTTTCTCATTGTCCATTGTCCCTCGACTGTGAGAACTATCTTCAACTGCAGGGCACCAACTGCTTAAAAACTGGCACTTATTTATTTTCATGGTGAAGGAGTATGTAAGATTGACATTTGTGACCAAAGACTATCGCCATCAGTCTAGCTTACTCAGGTATTTAACTGGCCTAGGTCAGGCTTCTCCATGCTTGTCTTGGTTTTCCTTGTTTGGTCTCCCTCCTGTCCCAGAAGTGTTGTTTCTCTTCATATTTATGAAGGAAGAGGTAAGCTTACTTTTGCATTGCATCTTGAGTGCACCCTTCTACTTTAAGATAAAAAGGATACCCATTCTTCCTACAAGTTGCTGTATTCTTTGGTTTCTGCCACTCCAACCTCCTGATATTGGAGGAGGATATATGCTGAATCAGAAGAAAAACAAAATTGGGCTCAAACACATTCACCAACACTTACTAGCTGTGTGATTTGATGCAAGGCACTTAATATTACCAAACTTTAGAGTTATATGTACAAATTAGAATAATTACATCTCCCTCTTAGTCATTTTGTGAGGAATAATTTAGATAATACATTTTACTTAAATTACAAAATGCTTGGTGCGAAACAGAGGCTCAATCAGTGAGTTTTCTTTTAGACAGCTTATGTCATAGTATTTACATTTTTTTCAAGTTTCAGCGATATTGTCTTTCTTTCTATGCCTTTTTTTTTTACTCTGTCATCCAGGCTGGAGTGCAGGAGCACACTTATGGCCACTGCATCTTCGACCTGCTGAACTCAGGTGATCCTTCTGCTTCAGCCTTCCAAGTAGCTGGAAATACAGGCGCATGCTACCACACCCAGCTTATTTTTTGATTTATTGTAGAGACGAGGTTTCACCAAATTGCCCAGGCTGGTCTCAAACCCCTGAGCTCAGGCAGGCCTCTCGCCTTGGCTTCCCAAATTGCTGCAATTACAGGCTTGAGCCACTGCGCCCAACCCTATGCTTTTTTATTCTGAATTATTTTGAAGGCTTTGCTCACTTCTCTCTTGCAGATACACCAGGTCTTGGTCAGTTTTTATTTCTTTCTTCCTAGTTTTAGCAGAATATTCTCTTTGCCTTTTCTCCCTTTTATTTAATTTTATAAATTCAAGCTGAGATTACAATTTTCTTTCCAAAGTTTCCTGCTAATTTGCATGTCTAGTCCAAAAGCACTTTGGAAGTTTGTAGTTTAGAAAACTTTAGATTCAAGGTAATGTCAGAAAGATGGTAGATTAGTAAGCCCTGTATTCTTTCCCATGGACATAAAAGCAGCAACAACAGAAAGATAAATTTTCTTTGTGAGAAATTTGAAACCAGTTGTTAAAGAGGTGGATCTCATGTTAAGTGCTCTTACAACAATTAATACATATATTTATTCTGGATTAAAGTATCCATAGTGAAATTATATCATTACCCTATTCATCTAAGATTCATTAATTTGTTGAACTCTTACTTTACTAGAAGCACAGGCTTATGCTCCCTGTTTATGGCAATGAATAAGTCTCTTTCTCATGATTTAATATAAATGAAACTGGATCACACCATATTATTTGATTAACAATTAACATACTTATTCCAAATATGTGTAGCAAATCAAACGCTATATCTGCACCTGCAAGCATTCAGCCTGTCTCCTCATTCATCTCTACAAGATTTTAGTGTTAGAAGCAAGAAGCATATTAACACAAGATCAATTATCAGAAGCGATTGTTATTATTATTTGCTACTGAAATGAAAGTTTATGCTGTGACACTTTTCTCAATCCTCACAAAAATGTTGAAAATTTAAATATCCCTATTTTTCTATATGTGGTGGTGCTATTTTACAAACATTACAAAAAGACCACAAATGTGTGATTCTGTGATGTCCATCGCTGTAAATTTTTGAGCTGTACTCACTCAAATTGTAAAACTCTTGAGTTTTTGTATTCATTCTTCAGATTACTTGATTGAAAGATTTCATCTATCTAAAATCAGAAAAGGTTGAAAAATGTACTACATTAAAAATTTTAACTTTTGTTCAGAAATGTATACAAAGTGATATTTGTATTTTGTTTAGAACTGGAACAATTTTCTCGGTGGTAATAGGGTTGATACATTTAATTATCTTGGGACTATTACATTTATTTACTCGTCTTTTTCACAGTGAGAAATGGGATCTATATATCTTTTGGTAAATAGTTAATAAAAACTATGTTATGAAATTTTAAACCAGCTGAAGGGAGAGTCTCCTACCATTTGCTGAAGGTCAAAAGCAAGAACTTTGAAATCCACTGAGAGTTTGTCTTGCAAATTAGGATTATATGTTGCTCCAGATGTTATTTTAAATTTCCCTCTGGCTTCATGACTTTGTCCAAGTGCCGCATCTAGGTATATAAATGAGAAATAACACACTGAAAGTGTGGGTTTTGAACAGAAGAGGAACATTCTGTTAAGACATAGAAGTTAAGTTCTTAATGTGTTGGCCCTGTGGTTCTCACCTTTTCAATGGAGTCTTTATGCTTAAAATCAGCTTTCCTTTTTTTTAAAGCTATCTGATTGGTTTAAAACTTAGATATCAAACTGTTTTCCATTCTATCTTTTTTTCTTTTCTTTGAAGTATCACCCACACTCTAAGCTTCTGAGTTGTTGTGGGGTTTTTTTGTAAAAAATCATTATTATTATTGAGATTCCTGTTGGAAGATACATGGACTGATCAACTTCTACCAATTATAAAAACTCATTCAGGGAAACATGGTGAGAAGTGAACCATTCAAAGTTTGTAGTTGCTTTCAAATACTTCATGAACACCTAGCATCCATGGACACCACTGGTTTTCACCATGTGGATTGCTGTGAAGATTTCAGTGTTTAGGTTACTTTGAAACATAGCTTTGAAGCTACTTGTCTTATTCTAATAATTATAAAAATGGTATGCATGACCTTTTGCCATTAGAATGGTGGCTGTCCTTATTTAAGATGTTATTAAGAATGCTATAGAAAATATATTATCTTAATAGGAAAAAAATGTCAAAAATGGTTAACAAATTGAATATAAACATGGGCAACAAGATGTGCAATTAAGTCTTGTATAATTCCTTTCTCAGCATATTTTATTTGATACATATTTATATTTAAAATGAATTGCTTTAACTGAAACTAACACAATGGTGAAATCATTAGTGAATATAATAATAATGATACATGATTCTCACAATGACCTGGTATGATAAGATGTTATTTCTTCTTTTCTGTCATGGGAAAATTAGGGCTTAGAATGACTAAGAAAATTTCTCAAGGTAGTCAAGGTCTTAAGTGAGATATCTGAAATTTGGACATAAAAATGACTGACTCCAAAACCCAGGACCTATCATACATTGACACAAAACTTTCCAGTCCAGAGCATTATTAAAAATAATTTTTTCATCAGAGAACTTGAATATAATCTAAACACTTATCACTGTAAAATTGACATTACATATTATTATTTAAAGTTTTTGTTTGTTATGACGATACTCAAAATTAAATTGAGATTTTCATGTTTAAATGTTGAAGACAAGGAAAGATTAAGGAACTATCAGAGATTAAAGGAGCTTCTAAGAAATCATAAAAACTAAGTCCTTCATTGGAATTGCCATTGAATCCTGAACGGGTAAATGCTACTAGTAAAAACAAAACAAAACAAAGAAACAAACAAAAAACTGGTGAAATTTGAATAAAGTGTATAGCTCAGTTGATTTCTAAAAAAAAAAATTTTTTTTAAACTATATTAAAAGTAGTAGGTTTTATGCCATCTAGTAGTCCAGAATAGTTTTAACTAGAATTCCTTTTTATATTTCATTGTTCCCTTAAATTGTATTAATGTATATAAACATTTAATTTCCATTTTACTTATAGGATAACTTTGTATCCTTATTGAGCATCAATGATTCCAAAAGATTCTGTGTATTCCTCTTTGAAGTTATTCACAGTATTTAAACAAGATGAAAAACAAACACTTTTCTAAAAGTCTGAGTGATTTTGTATAAATTCTTAGTAGTTCATATAAGCAACAAAACTATCCACAAGTGTTCTTTTAAAAAAGATTTTTACACTCCTTGTACATAGCTACAGTATTTAAATAGACCAGGGATTACACTAACATTATTTTATAAAATTATAAATCAAGTTTATCACATTCTAATTGAAATTTATTTACTAGAGAAAATACCAACTTAAAAACTGAGAATTTTCTTAGTGAAACTAAAAACCACTCACAGGTAAAGGATCTTGCCCTGGGAATTTTCAGAAATAATTTATATGGCCATATATAATTCATTACTTTAAAAATGCAAATATTTTCTGAGAAAAAATAAACGCAATACTTAGATTATTGCTATGCTTTCAATTTCTTTTTATTTACCCTATAAATGGATAAGTGGTAAATATGATCAGAAGTGCTTGACTTGAATTGTCTAGTTTGGGATCTTACTTCTGCTACCTACTAATAATGCAAACCTAAGCAAGACAAATTATCCGATTCCTCACCTTAAAATGAGAATACAATAAACATTCATAGTTTGTTGTAGCAAGACAATACATTTGAAAGTCTTCTAAAAGCTACTGGTACAAAACTCTAAATAGGAGTTATCGTTTCTTATTTTTTTTCTGCCAAAAGTTGCTACTCACATAGCTTGAGGTCTTTATAAGTTGACATTTACATTCAAGTAATTTCATATTATTGCAATTAATATTGTTAGCCTAATAAGAGATGAAGATAACATTTTGTAGAAATAAATAACAATTTTTGTCAGCTTTGCATATTTATCTATTAGTATAGACAACAATGTTATAATATGTTTATGATTTAAATTATATTAGATTACCCAGGGGACATGAAACCTTCTTGGTTATATGTTAAAACTAAGAAACATATTTAATATTATTTAGTTTAAGGAAAGCATAGTCTTATGCTTGAATTCTGGATTAAGTTTCAAATTACATACAAACTAATTTTGTAACATTCCATGAAATGAACTAGAGAAGCAGCTGAATGCAACATAAGAATCTTGTCATAAATCCACAGCTATGAATAAAATATACTGACAGTATAACTGTTACTGAAGTGTGTACATTGTACATTCAACTGAGAGCACTTTCAGGAGCCAACTCCATGTGACTTACCTCGTCCCGCTTCCTTGATTGCCAACCAGGACACTGCAATTAATCCGGCACAGAGCACCACCAACATGGCAAACAGGGCTGAAAACATGATCTCATAGTAGCTGAGAGAATGGTGCCTTGAGGAAACACTTCTTTTTGACCCCATTTTTGGTTTTTGAAGGTTTACTAACTAAAGAACTGTAAAATAATATAAATATTGGCCAACTGAAGAGGAAAATCTGTCAATTTTAAAGCAATATTTGTAAAGCAACAGGAGTCTGTCTACACTCCTATTAGTCAGTGTAAATGAGTTGTGTACGTCCTTTGGCAATGGTATGTCTCTATATATTAAGTATTGTTAAAAGGGCAGTTAATCTTTAAGAAGATTTGAGTAAGTAAAGATGCCTAGAGTTGTAAATGTTAATTACCTGAACAGGTTATTTGCCGAGGTGGATGAAATTAAAGTTATGTTGTAAACAAAAATGACACTTTATCATTTGGGGAACTATTAGGAAAATATGAAATTAATGACAGACAAATTGGTCATTAGGCACATGACTTGATACTCACAGAAAGAGTTCTTAACAGATCAACCTTCTACCTTCTGACGCAGATCATTATTAAGGCATTTCTCTTGTTGTATGTGGGTATAGACGTGTGAAAAATAACTTCATGCAAAGATGGATACAAAGTCTAACATATATGTCCTCTCTATCTCTCTCTAAATATAACTTTCTGTATATATGTATATATAAACTTCTTACTGAAATGATCAAAGGTTTTGTATACTCTTTTATGTCACCCATGTGAAGTTATGCAATATAAAGCAGTACTGATTTAACTTAAAGGAAAATCCACTTAAACAAGACATCATATGGCTATTCTTTATGGCCTTGTGTGGATATCATGAATGGGAGTAGTGTCATAAGAGGAATAAAGCATTAGTTTCTCTTTAAGAAAATATTCTGGGTGGGGAAGATATTGCTCACTTGTCCTGGACTTTATCTCTTTAGATATACCAGTTATAATAAGAGAACTGGTTAACATAATCATACTCATAATTATAGACCTATGCTTTATGAGGAAATCAAAGCAGTTTGTTGATAAAGTACAGAGTTTTACTGGGCATTCTGCAACTTTAATAATGACGAGTATAAGATTTATACAACCGAAAAACAAATACAAGATAAAACCAAATTTATTCTGAACTAAACGAATTTGCCTTTTGCTCTGGTTGATGAAACTGGCCAGAGGTAAGGTCTTAGACCAAAAACCCTCAACACACTGAAATTGTGGCATCGCATGACAGGCTGAGATGAGCAATACTCATTCTTCTTCTTTACGATTAGAAGAAGAGAATTGCGTGTTGCACTCAAATTCTTGCAGATAAAAATGTAGAATTATAAATAAATGTGTGCTGTGTAAAATATCCTTATTTTTATTTAATTGAATTAATATTTATTGCTCAATACTCTAAAATATATATAAGATGGGAGACGGAGCTTGTGGAATTGGGAGATGTTTATTTTATTTATATTCTAGGGCATAGTTATAATAATGGGTCAGACCCTCTGATAAAAGTAGAACCTGGAAAAACTGATCCTTGAATTTGAAAAACCGGAAAGGTGAAAGCATGATTACTGTTTGTTTGTTTGTTTGTTTTTTGTATGGCTGATGCAGTAACAAAAAACTGAATTGGGAAGATCTCTAAGGTACATTTCTTTTGACTTTATAAAAAGAAAATAGAAGATAGCAAAGTGAGTTCACATGTTTTGCTCCAAGCACAGAGTAACAGTAGACAAAATATTAGATTGAAAACCCAAAATGATTTATCTCATGTCAGAAACAAAATCAGCATTCAGATTATAAACTATCTTCAAATAATAAGTTTTGAACAATTATATTTGCTATCACCAAATAAACAAGTGATAAAATAGTTTTTCTTTAAGGCAATAATTTATAAAGAACAGACTGAAATAACACAAAAAGGTGAATGTGAAAAGTAATAAATCACATATCTTGAAAAAAAATTTTAAGTTGTTAAAGTAAAGCAGGACTTACCGATCAGGTAACAAAATGTATAACAAAGTTATAATAACAAGGAGTATAGTATCAACCCAGAAAATCAAAATATCTCAGTGGAATAAAGTGCTCATAAAGAACTTGACTTGCCGGGCTTGGTTGCTCAGCCCGTAATCCCGCGCCTTTGGGAGGCTGAGGTGAGTGGATTGCCTTAACCCGAGGGTTCGAGAACTGCCTGGGCAGCAAGACCTCATCTCTACAATAAATCAAAAAATATATATATATATCAGCTGGGCGAGGTAGCGCATGCCTGTAGTTCCAGCTACTTGGAAGGCTGAGGCGGAAGGATCACCAGATTCCAGCAGGTTGAGGCTGCGGTGGCCGGGAGTGGGCGACAGAGTGAGACTCCAACTCAAAAATAAAAAATAAAAAAAGAACTTGACTCACACATGGATGCTTCCTACATCAAACACAGAGTGTTGCTAATACTAGGTTAGGAAAAGATGACTATTCAACACATAGTACTGGGCAAAAGTTCTTAATCTTCAGATTAACAAAATTGAAACCTTCTTTCACACAATGAAGAAACATAAATTCCAGGTGGATTAATTATACATGAAAAACACAGAAACAAATTAGAAGAAAATATAGAAGAATGTCTTTATGACGATAAAGTATTGAAGGAGATTTTAAAAAGTGATTCAAAAATAAAAGAACAAACCAGGAAGAAGATCCTTGATAAATTCAGCCAATACGAACACTGCCTTTTTTTTTTTTTTTTTAAATAACAAAAGATATTTTTAAAAAGTCAAAACCTAAGCTACAGTCTAAATTTTTTTCTTTTATTGTCATTTATGTTTTAGTTTGGCGACAATGGAACTGAACTGAGGCAAATATTTTCATGTAAATTACTTGAATGTACTTGGGAGGTAATCCAAGGAAACTCCACGTGAGCAGTTGAGAAAGGAAAATGGGTGTGGGGAGAAAGCCAATGAAGAGTGGGTGTGATCAAGTCCGATTTCACCGTAGGCATCTGGGCATAGTCCCTGTGTAAGAGAGTAGTAACAGGCATCAGCGTTGTTCCAATTAAGGAACAAGGAAGCAGGAATTTTTATTCACCAAGGAGTGGTGCTCATTGGTCAAGGGTAGCGTGCAGGGCTTTCTGTCTCTGGCACTTAGAGCTTTCTCTGTGTGGGTAGAACATTCAGGGGGAGCTGACTTCAGTGTGCAGAGACAAATGAGAGAGCCTGTGGGTGTAGGATCCATACAACGTCTGCTATAGCTTACAAATGAAAAACACTTCTTCTCCAGAATTCATAGAAACTTTCTACTGAAGAGCAAACGGCAAATAGCAGGTTATTAACAAAAAAAAATACCCCCAAGACTAAATAATAAAGAAATAAAAGAGCACACAAATGTCTATAGGTACTCAACTTTAGTAGTAATTAGAGAATAACAATTAAAATAACAAATGGGATATTATCATCCTCAAACATACTAGCAAAAATTAAAAGTCTTAGTGAAGATTCAAATAATCGTCTTGAATAGCAATTTGGAAATATTTCATCAAATTAAATTCATACCATTTGACCCTAAAATTCTCCTTTGACTAAACACCCCAGAGATCATAGCACACGCAGACAATGAGAGCGTATTCATTATAATACTATTTGAAACCCCACAAAATATAGGGAAAACTTGAGTGTTCATGATAAAAAGAAATGAAAAAGTGAATTGTAATGTTTTTATATAACAAATATTATACATAATTTAAAAGTGCATGAACTAGAGTTATATGTACTATCGGAAATGACTTTTAAAAATTGTAAGCAAAGAACTAAGTTTAGAAAGATATATGCAGTGTTACACTATTTAGTGTTGCAGTTCAGTGTGATGAAAGCATTCATGGAGATGATACATAGAAAATTCAATATGATGGTTACTTGTAAATAGAAAAGGAGGTGGATAGTGTATGGTAGAACACTAAAGGGTGTTTGTATTGTGTTAATCTTCTTATTTTGAAAAAAGTTAATGATCCGTGTTAACTTAACAGAACTAGACAATTAGGACATGTGAGTTAATAATATTCGCATTTTTCTCTGTGTATACAAAAACTGAAGTGGATGCATATGATTGTAGCCCCTGTGGCATTAATAATTTTGATCTTTTAAAAATAATACTAACATTTTAAGAACTTTTATGCACAGAACTTTCCATTTTGAGAAATAAAGTGTACATTTCTCAGAAAAGACCCCTTAAGCCGTCATTGAATGTCTATAGGAGAATAAATACTTATTTTAAACATGTACTTAAAATATTTAACTACATAAGCTAAAATGCTGTATTTGAAGTAGAAACAAATAAGGGTAATTTTTGGGGAGAATGAATGAAGAGAATACACAGTTCTGAGTAGGTGATCACTAGCCCTTTTAATGAAGATTTCAATAAATAAATAAAAATGGCGTGTACCATTTCAGTGATGAGAATGACATGTTCTTGTTAGGTGAAGAGTAAAGCTTGCAGAAGCTTGAGGATAGTGGGATGTGGACCAAATAGAGCCAATGCTGGTGTTTTGAAGACTCCTAAAGTGAGATTTATAATTATTTTGCCTAGAGTGAATAAAAGCATAAGAATAGGAGAGCTAAGAAAATGAAGAGTCTGGTAAGCTCTTATTATCGAGGCATTAGACCAGAAGATTAAAGACCATGGTGCACAACCTAATTAGTTCATTTGCTCAATAGATAGGTGGTTTTATACTCTGTACAAAGTAACAGTAGTAAGTGCAGAGAGTCTCTAAAGATTAAGGCCATGGGCATTTACGTAAAATTTTGTTCACTGTTCAACACAACGTGAGAAAACTCAAAGAGCTTTCACCTTTAAACTATTTGCTGTTACTGTATCGTTATCAGATAAATATCTTAGGAGATCAAATAAAAAAAAAACTAATAGAAAATGAGGAAATCTGTATTTTTTTTTTTTTTTTTTTTTGAGTTGGAGTCTCAATCGGTCGCCCAGACTGGAGTGCAGTGGCCGCTCCAGCCACCGCAGCCTCGACCTGCTGGGCTCCGATGATCCTTCCGCCTCAGCCTTCCGGGTAGCCGGAATTACAGGCATGCGCTACCATGCCCGGCTGATTTTTTGATTTATTGTCGAGATGAGGTCTCCCTGCCCAGGCGGGTCTCGAACCCGCGGGCTCAGGCAATCCACTCACCTCAGTCTCCCAAAGGCGCGGGGTTACAGGCTGAGCCACCGAGCCCAGCTGAAATCTGTATTCTTTATCAAAAATGCTTTTGGA